GACTTTTGCTTTAGGATCAAAAACCTGTATGTACCATTCGCGCGCGCTCGCTGGTACAATCTACTGTGTGCGTTAGTGTGTGCTTGCGTGTGAGTGTATGTAACAAAACATAATAAGAATGCACCTAGCGGTTGAAATATGTACCTAGCACCATTGAGCGCACTAGGGGCCGGATTCCGCTAACGCGTTCCGCTCTTAAAGGCAAAGCTTAAGGACCCCCAAATTTTTATTTTATGTTTAGATACTGCAGCCTAATTCGGGCTATCGCAAGAGTAGGATTTCTTTTGCGGTGTTGGAATGCAATATTGCAAGAGCAAAAAAATTAAGACAAATAACGCTCGCGACAAAAAAAGAAAAGCGCGAAAACCGCAAGGATATCACGGTGACTCGACGGAATTCTCACAAAAAAAGCTGACCTATAGCTCTTACAAAAGAAAAATAAATGGAGGAACTTATTACTAAGATATAAGATAGCCGTTCAATGTAGATATTGACGAGCGTGTTATACCGTATTAAGCGATAATTTTTAACTTTAGGAGGAAAAGCATTCTGGCAAGCAGGAAGCAGCAAGAAGTTGCCCGCCTCTTTTATTAAGCCCGTTCCCAGTGGGGAACGGTTTGCTTTGCGAAGGTATGCCAGTTTCGGCACGCGTGGAAGACGCTTTTTTTTAAACTTTTATAACGGATGCCTTTGTTTGCTTTTTCGAACGGCTTACCGCACCGGCGGTGAAAGAAGCCTCCAAACTTCCCACAATAAAGGTACGGAAGTCTATGAAAGCAACTTTTCCAGCAAACTGCCTCTGCATAGAGTAGCAAAATGAACTAAGAACAAACGAAGCCCCATCTGCTGATAACCATGAAACAACACGCGTGCCATCTCGCGATAGTGCGGACTGTACTAACGAAACTCGTAATTACTCGCGTCATTACAGTGCCTTTGAGTGAGCCAGAGTGACAAGGAAGCGCCTATACATAGAGACAGCCTGCATAGAAGAAAAAGATATAAAGAAATACAGTATATAGGCAAAACCAGCGAAGAACATTTATAAGCAGGTGTGGTGGCATTGAGCCACTGCATACCGTAGATTGATTTGTGGGGTTTAACGTCCCAAAACCACTATTTGATTATGAGAGACGCCGTAGTGAAGGGCTCCGGAAATTTTGACCACCTGGGGTTCTTTAACGTGCACCCAAATCTGAGTACACGGGCCTACAACATTTCCGCCTCCATCGGAAATGCAGCCGCCACAGCCAGGATTTGATCCCGCGACCTGCGGGTCAGCAGCCGAGTACCTTAGCCACAAGACCAACGTGGCGGGGCCCACTGCATACCGTCGTCTTCCGCGTTGTCAAACGGAAGCACCAAATTTCACACGAAACGTGCGCACTGAACAAGTCGACGACCGGTTGACAAATTAAAGTGTAAATAAACAAGTAAGACTAACGCAACCACCTTTATTTCGGCTTCATAGTTTCGGCTAACTTAAAATTTTCTTCTTCAACACAAACCAACTTAAAAGGAACGAGAGCTCCACGACAATGACAATTCGCCGCTACTTTCCACACGAGAACGGAGAATTTTCAAAAACGTGCCGACAGTGCTGTCGGTTGACTGTGATTTACAACTTTTTAAAAAGGGAAAATCGGGACTTCGTAAGGCACCTATGTAGGATCCCCGTGCAAAACGAAATTAACGTCCCACAAGCGGCAGCAAACCAGTTGCTTAAATAAAAACGTCATCTACCTGCCCTAACTAGAAAGACAGGAAGCATGTGCAGAAAAGGAACAACGCACATGCATTAGCATCACGACTGTACACATGCAGGTTAGTTCAGCAATACGTTGATAGGATATGAATGCGACCACACTTGGCTAAGAATGAAGAGGGAACGACGAAAGTGCTTCACGATATGTATACTCTCCGTGTTAAATTTCGCGTGCAATATTAGTATACACTTTTGAGGCACGCCAGGGACTGCAGCCCAGCCCCGCCACGGTGGTCTAGTGGTTAAGGTACTCGGCTGCTGACCCGCAGGTCGCGGGATCAAATCCCGGCTGTGGCGGCTGCATTTCCGATGGAGGCGGAAATGTTGTAGGCCCGTGTACTCAGATTTGGGTGCACGTCAAAGAACCCCAGGTGGTCAAAATTTCCGGAGCCCTCCACTATGGCGTCTCTCATAATCATCAGTGGTTTTGGGACGTTAAATCTCACAAATCAATCAATCAATCAATCAATCAATCAATCAATCAATCAATCAATCAATCAGGGACTGCAGCCCAATTAGTGGCGCTTGCATGCGAGGCCGCAGGTGCGTGTGACGTGGGCATGCGCGTTTTTCATCGCGGTGACATGTTGTTGCCCCCCACAATGGAAATCCCCGGCCACATGTCGTCCTGAAGTGGTGTCTCGCAGTGTCAGCCGGGCTTCATAGCGCCAGTGAAATCCCAATGCAACCAACGATGACGTCACTGTTGCGGCAGAGCGTCGCGATAGCACTGATGATTGATGCGATAATATAACGATGACTCACACAGATATGAGAAGGATCGCTCACTTATGTTGCACCTGCCTATAGTCCCCATAGTGCGTAACACATGACAAGAACAGGTCCAAAACACTCAACCTCCGAATATATATCAGCCTATCCCTGCTGACTATACTACGTCACGCAAGGCGCCCGAGAATAAGGGTTCGCAAGATATTACGCAGCGAGGTATTCATTCATGCACTCGATTTCTCCGCTGGTTCGCAAGAGGTGAACCAGGAAAAAAATCATGGCTAAAGAACAAGAGAAACAAGAGAACGAGAGAAAATATAATGGCTATATAAACGCAGTACCTAAGATAATGAGCTTTTTCCGTTGCTGGGTGGCCTGCCTCGTTTGTGCTATGGTATATCGAGTCATCCAATATCGACATAAGCTCGGTCAGTGCTTGAGAGGGAGACCACCTGGGAAGACCGAGTGCTGATGGCGTCCTCTTTTGCCTCGCCGCGGTGGTCTCTATAGGGGCTAAGCTACTCGGCTGCTGACCCGCAGGCCGCGGGGCCGAATCCCGGCTGCGGCGGCTGCATTTTAGATGGAGGCGAAAATGCTGTGTAGGCCCGTGTGCTCAGATTTGGGCACACGTTAAAGAATTCCAGGTGGTGTAAATTTCCGGAGCCTTCCACTATACGGCGCTTCTTATAATCAAATGGTGGTTTTGGGACGTTAAACCGTGCATATCAATCAATCAATCAATATCGAAATAAGGCGCAACGAATAGCCTTGACTGCCTCCTAATTCCCACCGGTGTAATGCCCAACCGTGCATCGTATGTAAATTGGCGATAAAGTAACGCTTCAGTTCCACGCGTATCACTTCTATACACACTCTTCCAGAGCATGCAGCTACAACCGTTCAAAGGACGTGGCATCACACGCACAAGACCGGTTTCGAAAACTATTTTGTAGATAAAAAAAAAAAACCCATAGGCATCAGAGAAGACTCAAACGCGTTCATGACGCGCTCTGTAGTAATGAGAAGTAATTACGTATTCAGATTTGCTTTCGCCAAGGACAGAACGCAACGGGTCACTCGCTCCCGACGCCTGCGCAGCAAGACACGCAAGCCGTTCAGTTCAGATTTGTAAACCATGTAACACGGCAACGGCGGCTATGTAAAAATACGCGCCGCGCGGTGAACTCGGGGAAACCCTTTAAAAAATAACACTTGCACACGCATACACAAGTGCGATCATTGACCAGAGTATCATACACCAGCGAGGCGCGATTTCTATCTCTCTATTAATGACTTCGCCACGGCGAATGTTTCAAACTCGCATGTGTGGAGTAGAAACATGCCCGCTTGACACTAAAACGATTACCTCTGTATGTCACCACGGGGAGCTATATACGAGTGAATGAAAAGTTCACTTTCACGATTATTCACCGCAGCGTAAACACGGTACCTCGTTATCGCACCTATCTCGTTCTGAAATCTTCAATCTAAGCTGAACAATCAGCAGAGAGAGAGAGAAATGTTTTACTGTGCAGTTAACAATCGTGCACACCTGCGCAGCTCGGCCCCATGCCTCGCCTGTCTTTTATTTTAGCCGCTTCAAGGATAGTGACACGGATTCAGCTCGATAACGGTGACAGAAAAGGCCGTTGCTATAGGATCTAGACGGGAGGGTGAACTTCGAGCCCACCTCGCGATTAACGCCAGCACGCGGCGCGAAGGTCAGTCGGGCGAAAAGACTTGCACCAGGAGAAAAGAAGTAACGAGAGAGAACAAGGGGGGGCTACAGAGCACAGTCTTCGAGCGGTTGCTCGCAATGAAACAAAGTCACGCGAAATGTTCACTTCGACAGAAGGAAAAGCGCGGTACCGTATTCCTTGACGAGCAGCATTAGGAATGACAATGCCGTAGGGTAACGTGTAGCGAAAAAAAAAAGCGAAGGCGGCCGAAGAGGGACGAGTTGTAGTAAAACCCCCAGTGGACAGACACCTGGACCAGCGCACACGCTGTTCGAGGAACGTGGCGTGACCGAAAGTGTCACCCGTGTTTCCACGAATGAGCCGGTGCACTGCACCTGCCTTGCATGGACATCGATCCGGGCAGCACTTGACCGCCACGAAGGATCGATGATGATGATGTGACCTGGAAATTTAACAGTATGCTCGTGACCGCGCCTTTGTGGAAAGACAACCAACCCGGCGGTTGTTTCCATAGACCTACAGCGATCTTAGAAAATGATCTACCGCTTGGATACTAAGATTGATACACTTCGCCGGGTATAGTTGTGGGGTATAGATTTAAAATCAACTTGCCGTGACTGGTTCTTCAATTAAAACAAGTTCTGTTCAACGTATACGTGTTTACTACGCTTAACAATTAAGCAAATGAGTCAAAACCTAAAACCGGTATCGGCGACGAGACGACCAGCGTTGTGGTGCATATCTCGTTGACTTGGAGGCTCGTTATAGGCGCACGCGAGTTGCAAACAAAATGTCGCACTTACCAGGTACCACATTTCCGACCATCGTGGATCGTTGAGGACGGTTTCGCGGAATTCACGTTTGCTGCGCCGCTTCAGGGTCTGTTGCGAAAACGACCGAACCTGCAGGGGAAAAAAAAAAAAAAAGCACACAGACTTCGATAAATGCGTCTTTCCAAAACAACGTGAGATGCACGGTGCGTTGATTAGTCAGTATATCTACATTTTAGAAGAGGCACATTGACAGCTCCGTATAGCACTCACTCTATATAAGTCATCATCATCAGCCTGACTACGCCCACTGACTTCCTAATCTCATCTGCCGCCTAACTTTTTGTCTCCCCTTCACCCACTTGCCTTTTCTGGGAATCCAATCAGTTACCCTTTATGACCAACGGTCACCCTGCCTATACACATGCCCGGTCCATGTCCATTTCTTCTTCTTGATTTCAACTATGATGTCGTTCAACCCCGGTTTGTTCCCTGACCCACTCTGCTGTCTTCTTGTCTCTTAAGGTTACAACCATCATTTATCTTTTCGTCGCTGGACGCGCCGTCCTCAATTCAAGCTGAATCCTCTTTGTAACCCCGCAGGTTTCTACTCCGTAAGTACCAGTCAGATGTAGCTGTTATGTAAATTCCTTTTGAGGCATAGTGGCAGTCTACCAGTCATGTTTTGAGAACGCTTGCTGAATGTGACAACCTAATTATTACTCCAATCACGTGGTTAGGCTCCGTGGTTACCAACGCGGAGTAAGTATAAGTAACACATGCGAAATGTGGAAGCCGTATAACACTGTGTTTGTTATGAGTGGTTGTCGCCAAGGACGAATTTCACGTATAGGATAACACAAAATTATCTGTGAAAATATATCAGCAACCACAAATGAGGCACCGTTATAGAGTTAGCAAGCTATTTAATCAACAAAAAATAAACTTATACAGCCCAAAGAACAGAACACAGTTCGTTTGTAGTTGATGCATGATATGCGGTAAAATACACCGATCAGTTCTACACAAAGCGACTTCAGCCAAAGCGGCAACAAGCTCTTAAGGGTTCTTTACGACTCATTATAAAGCGAGAATAAATCATGACGGATATCTCGATACCGTGCAAAACTCTTAGAACAGGTCGGGAACCGCCCACCCTAAAGCATATCGCATTTGCAATTGCACGTTATCACACGCCCTACAAGAATCCAGCTGTTGAATTCGCAATCGACAGATGATCGTGTCAGCCGTACGGCACTTTGCATTCTACATCGCGGTTACCTTTTTTTCCGGGGCCGTGAGAACTAAGCAATGCCGATGAAATGAACCCCACCCCTGAAGCAGGCAAGTGTCTTTAAGCTTAACAGGGCTACGCATATATCAACCGTGAGAATAGCAGTGCTTACACATATAGTATAACATGCAACACGCGAGTTCCGTTCGAAGGACGGCACAAGCGAATGATGTTCTCCCGCCTTCCCGTGGGACCACGTGTGCGAAGAGCGGGTCATTACGTGTGCATTCAACCTGTACAAGCGTTGCTCGAAAATATATGCGCGCGTGATGGGCATAAACGACGCAGCCGCTCCAAGGCAAACCACACAACTAGCTTAATCTGCAACGCAGGCAACAAACCCCGGCGCGATGGTCTCGGCTGCTCACCCGTAGGTCACGCGATCGAATCCCGGCTGCGGCGGCTGCATTTTCGATGGGGGGGGGGGGGGGGAATGCTGTAGGCCTATGTGCTAAGATTTGGGTGTACGTTAAAGGGGCCCTGAAACACTTTTTTCAAGTACACATGGAACGAATTCACTGGAAGAGCTTATGTCTCACCAATTCAACGACGCAAAAAATTTTAACAATCCGTCCACTGCGAGTGGAGTTACAAAGGTTTGTCGCATGCTCTCTCTTATATCGTCGCACCGAAAGCGCTGGGAGCCAAGAAGGGAGGGACTGGGAGGGGCAAACAAAAAACGTCACGCGTGCCTCGCGACCTTGAGCATTTTTTTTTTCTTCGAAATGCGCGGCTTTATCAGTGTGATAGCGCGCGCACGCGTGGACAACTAGCGGCCTCCTGCGGCAATCTCTGTAACGAGCGAAAGCGTCATGTTCAAATCAGCCGAAGGCTGATAGATGGGTCATTGACGTGCGATTTTTGGACATATAACGTGATTTGTCGAGAAAAAGAAAGCATTTTTTGATGACTTTGATCATTTATTGTGAATTCCAGGCCGCGTGCTGTGCTATAATATTTGGCTCACGTGTTGTCGGGAGCCCCTACTACCAATCGGCAAGCAGCGTTTTCTGACCATGCTCTAAAGGTAGTGCCGGGCACCTTTAAAGAACCCTAGGTGGTTATATTTTCCGGAGCCCTCTACTATCGTCTTATAATCATATGGTGGTTTTGTGTCGTTAAACCTCACAAATCAATCAACGCCGCCCCGCCGCGGTGGTCTAGTGGCTAAGGTACTCGGCTACTGACCCGCAGGTCGCGGGTTCGAATCCCGGCTGCGGCGGCTGCATTTCCGATGGAGGCGGAAATGTTGTAGGCCCGTGTGCTCAGATTTGGGCGCACGTTAAAGAACCCCAGGTGGTCTAAATTTCCGGAGCCCTCCACTACGGCGTCTCTCATAATCATATGGTGGTTTTGGGACGTTAAACCCTACACATCAATCAATCAATCAATCAATCAATCAACGCAGGCAAGAAGATTCGACGCGCATACAGTACATACATACGCTATGAAAAAAAAAACTCGAACAGCAAAGTGCCAAAGCAGACAATGAAGTCGAGAGAAGGAAGCCGCATGCCGGCGAAGTCACGAGAAGAGTCGAAACAAAGGCCACTCCGCCGCCTGCTGGCCTTGGGAGAGTGTATGCACAGTATACTATTACCGACGCACACGTGGACACATGGATGCGTAAGTACATATATACAAACGCGGGCAAGCTGCCAGGCTGCTATGTGCCATTAAAAAAAGCTAGCGTTACGCGTCGTCGCATCATCACGTTCGCTCGTGCCAGCCCTCCGAGTTGTAGTCGTCCTCGGAAAACCGAGAAACAGGAAGCGGCTCAACGCGGGGACACAATGTCTCGCTGTCGACATCGTCGCGTCCATGCGGTGTCGTGTCGCATATACGAAACGACAACGGCGAAAACAACTGTTGTCGCCGAAAGAACGGAGAGAGGTAGTAGCGAAAGGTATAGGGGCAGTAGCGAAAGGTAGTAGCGAAAGGTATAGGGAAACAGGTAGAGAATGGCGTGCTGTCGACTATGCACGCAGAAAAAGAGAAGCCCGCGAGAAATGCCGAAAAATGAGCAAGCGAGATTACAATGACAGGAACGCATGCTGTGAGCGTTAATTCGCTCCGTCCCCCTTGATTTTGCGCCGCCCCTGGCATACGTGCGACTGCAGCGGCGTCATACAACGGAGCCGCTGAGTTGTTAATAAAATATATATAGGGAAAGAAGTGTATACTTAAGGGCTCGTTTTTGCGTGTTTTGACACAATATTAACAAGATCTAACAGACAATAAGGCCAAGGAATGTATAGGGGAAGTTATTAGAACCAATTGTAATGTAAATGTTAAGAAAGAAAAGCGGGTGAAAAGAGTGCCGTGAGGAGGAACCGAACCTGCGACCTTCGAATAACGCGTTCGATGCTCTACAACTGAGCTACGACGGCGACTATCCACCCCCGCCACATATATAAAATATTAGTCCGTGAGGCTGAACAGGCGAGATTCGGCCGAAAGAATGCTATACGTAAGGCCACATGACCTTCTGCTTACGAGGCTGCACATGAAAAACAAAAACACAGTGGACCTGCAGCCTAAACACTTGTGTTTAGTTCTGCCTAATATTGGTATCCCAACGAATTCCAGTTAACGAAAACAAGCTGCGACACATGAAACGCCCACACACGTGTATACGTTGCGTATGTATGCCGGCCTGCGTGTGAATAAGCTGACGCGTGCTAAGTCGTGTAAACAGCTCACGCATATAAGAAGCTTTATTGGACGAGGCGAAAATATTAGACACGGGGGCTAGACGGTACAGGAGATATAATGTTTGTTCCTTCGTCAATGACGTAGACAGTGGTATTCAGGGGTTTTTTAATGAGATTCCGCTAAAGTGTTTTCGTTTAATCTCCTATTCCATTAAATATTTTGGCGGCGCCCCGTCGATAAATCGAGAAATGGGTGCGACACTTTGAAACCTATCAAGCATAAAGCAACAGTTCCGTGGCAGAAACGATGATAATAATGTGTAGGGTTTTACGTCCCAATAACCGCGTTACGATCATGAGAGACGCCGTATGTGAAAGGCCTTGGAAATTTTGACCACCTGGCGTTCTTCGGCGTGCACTGCAGCGCACAGTACACGGGCCATTTCCCCTCCATCGAAATGCGACCGTCATGGCCGGAATCGAACCCGCCACCTTCGGATATGAGCAGCCGAGCATCCTATCCACTGATCCACCATGCAAACTCATGGCATAAGGGAACAATTGTTTAGAAAGCTATTATTCGCGAAATATTCTACCAAAGGGGGTGGGGGGGGTGGGGGTGGGGATAGTGTATGTTTAGAAGAAGGAAAAGAAAAGTGAGCCCCGCAACTGTCTGCATGAAGATGCGACACCTCTGCAGTAGCTCACATGAGATTGGAGTGAGGAGGGATCAAAAGGATATGAATAAAGGTGTAGAGAGAGAGAAAGAGAGATGCGCTAAGCCAGCGAGCGACGGCATATCGAGGGGATAGGAGAGATAGGAAAGATGGAAACACGGTCGCAGGAGTCCGAGGACGGAGCACCACTTGCGAGAGCTTTTGTCGGCGTCAGGAGGTGGCGTAGAGTAAGTCCAGTCGGTCAGAGCTACACTGTCGTCGAAGGTCGTCGGCGTCAGGAGGTGACGTAGAGCGAGCCCAGTCGGCCAGAGCTACGCTGACGTTGGAGATCGCGAGGGCACAACCGGTCGGTACGGAATCCAGCGAGCGAGTCTTCTACCAGAAACAGTGCCCAATTTTATTAAGCATACTATTATGTAGCAGCAATTAGGTAAGTAAGCGTGCAGCAACCAAAGCGAAAAATCGACATGCTTACAGAAAACGCGGAGGGACAAATTTCTGAGCAACCGAGATACGCATGCGCTCTCAATATCGAAACATGCGGTGTAAAATCGGTTGTTTAGCTTAATATCACCAAGTATTACGTCTAATAATAGCTGTTCCACAGTTTGACACTTCCTGTACGACCAATCACTTTCAGTACTATATACTCAATCGCTGACTTTCAGTACTATGTACTGCCGGCGGTAAACTAAACTTCAGTTTGAAGCATCGACTCACACCAAGCATATAGCGGTAGACGAGAGAAGTATCGCTATGACTATATATTGCTAATATATTTCGCAATTCTAGTTATTACGTCGGGAAACGAGCAGCAGCCGTGCTGGGCAACACTCGGGATGTAGAGATACTAAAAAGAACAAAACAAAGCCTGCGCGCCACGACGTCGCTACAAGGGCTTCAGTATGTCGACGGCGCCTACCCCTGTTTACAAACGTGGGATGAGGCTCTTTCCTGAAGACGGCGCGTGCAAGACTGACGGCGGCTGTTGGAATATCCTCCAGTCTGTCTTGGAATGCACTAACCCGACCCGGCAACAACAACAGAAAGATTGCGCAATAGCTCAGTAAAAAGGATGGAGAAAGAAAGCTAGGAAGAGTCCAGCACTGTATTTCAATGCCACGTGCGCTCTTTTTTTTTTAGCAATAAGCGACCACCCAGGCGTGCTCGAAAGTAAGTCAAACTGATATCCATGCCGCCAAAAGGCCGAAATATAAAAGGCGTTTAAAATGCAACACAACAGAAACGTTTTAGACACACTGCGGGAGTCGAACTCCGCACCGTTTTACGACGAAACGGTCGGAAGAAGGTGAAACGCGACAGTAAATAAGAAAAAGCTAAAACGGAAATGAGAATTGCGTTGATGCGTTCCGTCGTGCCATACGAGTGGAACCACCAGTACACACAACGGTTGAAAAGCGCGAGTTCAGAGAAGACAACAAGGTCGTAGCGACGTAAAGATAAAAAAAAATATAAAAAAACACATGTCTAGAAGGAAGTATTTGAGAAAAGAAGTCTCTCGGGCAATCGAAATTGTACTCAGGACGAAGGAACCTTTGACCAGGCCCCTTCAGAAACCACTGTTTGACAAGGGAAACTTAGGCGTTGCAGAGAAACTTAGGTCAACTGATGGTGAGAAGACAGGGAGAAAAAATGCCAAGGCAAATGGATGTGGTGGAAGGACGGGCACTTTCACCAACACGATGAGAAGGAAAGAGAGGCGTAAGCAAAATAAAACTAAGGACTATGGGAAAGGGGGGGGGGGGGCAGTTCATGCATGCCCACCGTCGCGCGTTTCTCTGGACACCTACCGCAGGCGATAACGCGCGCTCAAGTGGAGAACAAAAATATATATATATAAATAAAATCGCGATCAAAGTAAGTCACTCGATCGAAGCGCACCCCTTACACAGTTCTCAACTTTAAGCTTCCGCGATAACCATGATTTATTCGAGCCAGTGTGAATCGCTTTCCGCACCGGCAACGAGGTTCGCAGGCTTCGAAGGCCAACGCTCGCGCCCCCTGACTGAGACGCTTCGTTCCGGGACATCGGTGCTATGCGAGAAAGCGGAGGTGAAGAACGAGAAAGCGGCGTTCGGAAACAAACGGTTGTCAGTCGACAGGAAAGAAAAAAATAAAAATAAAATAACGTTAACGAAACGAGTTTGAGCGACGGGGAGCGCGCAGTTGAGCGCAAGGTGTTGACGCCTTGTTTACAGCCCAGTTAACGCACGCTGGCGTTCTACACGAAGGATGCCCTTTTTTTTTTTTGTCGCATTTCGAGAGGCCCGACTCAGGCAGCCAATTTCATAAAACAGCATTAATAGCGCATCGCGGCACACGGCTACGTACGCGATAACGAAACTCCAACAAATAACAACGTCGTAGAGGGACAATGACTCGGCATTGAAAGATAATACAGTTTGTTTTAGGCGTTTCTTTTTCTGCCGCGAACTATGAAACCAATACCGATTAAATTGCGTAATATACAGGGAGTAACGCATTATATTTAACATACGCATAAATATGAAGCGATACAAACAGTTAAGCAGCCAATTATAGTGTTTTCAGTGTGTCCGGGAAAAAGCATTTAGACTTTACGTTCCCACTAACACATATAGCGAAATGGCAACCATACACGGCCGATTACTCAACCCTTCATTGTTTAGACTTAGCAACCTGCAAATATTTTTGGATTCAGCCCCAGCGTTACCTAGATGACTTCAGCCCTCCGCTACGCAATTCACAAGGTTTACGCTCACTATATAACACGCCTACCTGACAACCTTCTCAGTTAACTAACAAACGCTCAAGTGGGAAAAAGTTAAGAAAAAGTAAAGGACAGACAACTTCTTTAAATTATACTAACTTCTTTAAATTAGACTAACTTCTTTAAATTATAGAAGTCCAAGAAAGCGACGAAGTGAGCACTCAGATACTCCTCTGGTTCGTTGAAGCAGTAATGTATGAAGGTAAGTACGGTAAAGACGGCTAGTTGTAGTGCTCGAATTAAAAAAAAAAAAAAAAAGACCCCGACTGAGCACAGAACACGCGCTCGAGGCGCGAAACTTAATTTCACGGTCTGTCGAACTGCGCGTCGCTGAGGAAGGACTCTGGAGGACCAGCGGCATCATAAAAGAGCGCGAGATGGCGCACGGATTAGGAAAACCGCGACTGTAGCGCGCGCTCGCATTGCTCCATCACCCGTTTTGAAAGATGCGCGATGAAGCCGAAGGCGAGTACGGTGCGCCGAGCAAAGTAAAGAAAGGCGGTGCCTCTGCCACCACGGAGGGGAAAGAGAGAAAAGAAACTTAATTCCAGTTGAGCGACTTTGCGACAACGATGGCGCACGACTGAACGCGCATCCGGCTGCCAGGGTAAACGCGAGCGAGCGGGCATAATAATGGGATCTTCGAGCTGGCGTTGAGGTGCGGCGCGATTCCATGAAAGGCAGGACAGTATACGACACCTCGAAACGAAAATCGCCAATAAAAAAAGAAAGAAAACCTGTCCGAAGGAATGTGTACACATGCGCACTGTATACGCAGCGCATCCGAATTTCTAAAAAAAATGCCACTGCAGGTCGCCGTGTGACTGCACGTCTTTCGTATACAGCTACGTAACCCGCGCATGCAACTGCGAGTATGCATCTAGTGGTATATTCATCGTCTAAGCGCTTACGCTGTTTGGTAAGACGTGGTATTTCCCACGCATACACGAGTTGCGTACAGACGTAGCTATACGAGCTATTAGGCGTGAAAGAGTCGCCTGAGCATTCCACGCGCATGCGCCGTGCCCTTGAGGTAACTGTATATAGGCAAAGTAGCGGTAGATGGGCTAAACTACTTATTGCCGTAATGCGTTGAATAATTCGTGGGATAATGCAGTGAGTGCACTCAAGGTTCTAGCGGTGCCCCACGGGGAAGTTTCAACATTCACTTGAGTTATACTGACGCTGGCGATTGCAGCGCCCAATGCGAGTGAGTGCTCGTCCTCACGATTTCTCTAGTACATCTAATCTCGACCGCATCAGCTGATTGCTTAGCTATAAGTAAGCCCAAATCCTCAATATATTTAGTATCGCAACCAATTGTAGAATTCGCAGTCTTGTGTTTTCTCTTTCTGTTGTTTGTCCCACGCTGTTCGACCGACTGAAACCGCCATTATGTACGGCCAGAACAAGTACTGCCCATAAGGTGGCGCACGATGATAACATCGAGGCTCCCTGATTTGACTCGAATAAAGTTTGTGTATATGCTTAGCATATACGCTGTAGACCCTGCAAATGCCTTCAGAGTTTAAAGCTGGCAAAAGGTATAACCAAAGATATTGGTTCCCGTTACCCTCTCTGTGCTATCACCGAGGCCCTCGATTAGGACGACATCTATTCGACAATACAGGCTAGGTAGGGTTAGGCGAAAGCCTCGGTTTTCCGTCAAAAACGATGTACTCATTTTTTTACAACAGAGTTTGTCGTGTACGTAAGCGTATATACACAACAGCAACAGCACTCAGACCATGTCGAGATCTGCACAGAGATATGTTGGAGGCAGCGTTTGTCTACACGCATTATTTTCACAAAAGAAAAAAAAAAAATAGCGAAGGCGAGGACCGTATCACACGACACACGCGAAGTGGGGACCACTAGATACCATTGCACAAAGCAAAACGCCTGGGTACCCCGTTCTAAAGCCGTCACACATATATACTCCCTGTAACATCCTTTTATGACATGATAATAAACTGATTGATTGATTGATTGATTATATATGACAGATAGTGAACAAGGGATCCGTACGGATCCCGAAACGTCATTTGTTTTGTTTGACATTGGCCAGTGACCTGTTTTTCAACGAAGCCGTCTTAAATGTCGACCACTAATGATACAAAATGGCGCGCACCGTGTCATGCACGTACTTACACTTGGCTCTTGTTCTAGACTCCTGTGGTGCTCCTCGCTTCGCCTCAAAGACCTCTTGGCGATGCGTTTATGCCGTAGATGATAATGGTCCCCAAACACCTGCAAAATACAAGACAAGAAAGTACTATGAGACTGGAGGAAGTATGCACAGTTTTGATGCTCTAAATACTACTCATGGAGGTAAAAGAAAAATCGATCACAAATCGATCTGCGAGCCCGATTTCCAATGATACCTCACAACAAGCGCGCATTAAAACGTTATATGTCGTTAATGATGACTGAAATCTGGTGGAACTCAATAATGTAGTGCCATGCTTGACTGGTTCCTGTAGGAGTATAAGAAAAACAAGTAATGCAGCTCATGAGCTTCCTTGAATCCCACGGACATGACACAGAGGCTAGACGGCCACGAAAGAGTGGGGGCATAATCCTAACTGTTTATTTTGTATGAGCGCATGTTTCTTGAATGGATACGCTCGCGCCTATGAAGCTCTACACACATATCAAACAAGCAGCATGAGCTTCGACGCCGCAAGTATTGACAAGGTAAGCATTGTCTATGAAAGTAGCAGAGAAATTTTAACGCGAGAGCGTTAAAGAGCTCGAGTCGCAGAAAAACCGCCGTCGGCGTCGGCAACGTTGGTTGTGAGCGAAAAATCTTCTGTGCTCTGTGACCGAAAAATCAAGTTACCGAGATAGCCGCGGGAGGCCGCTACTTGTCCATGCGTGCTCGCGCGATCACACTGAAAAGCCGCGCATTCGAAGAAAAAAAAAAGTGTTCAAGGTAACGAGGCGCGGTAGTTTCTTTGCGCTGCCACCCCTGCCTGCATAGCTTCCAGCGCTTTTGTCTGGACGAGCATGCAACGAACCTTTGTAACTCCACTCGCACTGAACGGATTCTTAAACTTTTGCGGCTTTGAATTCGTGAGACAATAAGCTCTTCTAGTGAATTCATTTCATGGTTACTTGAAAAAGTGTTTCAGGGCTCCTTTACCGCATTTTGTTTGACAGGTGTCACGACGAAAACGAGCCCATTCGGCGATAATAGCGCGCGCTGGTCCAATCTACTGTTTGCGTGCTTATGTGCGTGCGTATATATATATATATATATATATATATATATATATATATATATATATATATATATATATATAAGTATGCGCTTAGCAGCTGAAGGGTGCACTAGGGGCCGGATTTCGCTAACGCGTTCAACTCTTAAAGGCGGAGTTTAAGGGTCCCCCAATTTTTTTTTCACACACGTTACTGTTGCCCTATTTGGAACGTGAAGTTCCAACACGATCAATTTTTTTTTTTCGGGGGCAACATGCACTTTGTTTATACACGTTAAGGAATGATAACGAAAATATCAGAACGAATACAAAATTTAGTAATTGTTGCAGGAAATCGAGCATTAATACACGGGGTATAACCAAACCACGTATAAACTATAAACAGTTCCTTCCACAGAAGCATATAACGCAAGTCTTAACCAGAGCGCAGCCGCTTTTCACTTAGCCCTGTGCTACGTTGCCGGGGCTACAGAGAAAGAGAAGGCGCATGTGCGTGAGCACGGGGCCGTGCATCGTAAATCAGCGGTCGCAAACAGAACGTTTCCGACCATTCGTCTCCTGCAGATGCCTATGAGGACGGAAGGAAGGAAAGGTTCCAAAACGTCAGCCCGTCGTGCAAACGCATACGAGCGGCACACACACAGTCCGGATTGAAAAGGACGATGAAAGAAAGGAGCCGGAGAGATTGGGCGTGAGACTTTCCAAACTCCTCGAAAAAAAGGAACGGGAGAGAAAAAAAAGCAAGCAATCCCCGCGACACGTTAGAAGCCCTGCTTTTCTTTAGATATCGCCTCGCCCGGCAAAGCCACTTCTAAGGCGCTTTATAACACCAACATAACTGGCTCTATAAGTGGAAACCATCGGAACCACTTTGCATTTGAATGAAGGTGGTCGTAGAAATGCAGATACTTCGGCCAAGGAGGAAAGAAACGCACGAAGGGACGCAGAACAAGCAGCCTATATAGAAAAAAAAAAGAGTTTAAAACCGGGAAATTATAAAGAAGGCCTGGCAAGGATAGATGAAAGGCTGCGAGGCTTCAGTCAACTGCAGGTGCTGCTACGGGGCGCTTTCAAGAAAAGCTCCGCAAGCGGAGCACGCATCTCTTTGTAGGCGGCTTCACAAGCTTGCGTGTGTACTGCGTGCGTGTCAATACTTTTACACGTGACCGTGCGCCGATAATTAATTGGGAAGATACTTTATTTGCGTTTGCTTGACCCGCAGTCTAGCACGTGATGCTTCCGCAATGAACGATGACCGGCCAGGAGCTAAAGAGGCCGTATTAAGCTTTTAATAATGCTTGTGACAGCAAGATCTCGATAGATATCTTTCAGTCAGGACATGGAAATAAAAAGCGTAAGAAAATGCGACATCATCAACATGATACTAAGAAAGTACAGTTAAAAAGTAAGCATAAGAGATACCCTTAGTGAAATAATTTGTCCATTTTCATGTATCTCCACTGTTGAGACATTCGCAAGTCAGATAGAGTAAACTTTATCCCGAATGTCAAGCTTGCAAAGTGTGACCGACATTGCCGAAAAGAAATCACAGATTCAGATAAAGGTAATTTTCCATTACTTTCTTCATCTTACAAAATTAGTCAAACGTGTGCGTCAGGACTCGCGGGTACGACTATCACTTACGCAGTGTCCACGTTACGCGATTTTGTCTTTAGCGATAAGCTTTGACATTTTGCATCTTCGTATTTTTTTTTTCAGCGTGTTATCGGCTACATTTTTCGCCACTCTGAGTAAACGATATCTATAACGAGGTTTTACCGTAGCGACGTATCTGCGCACCGAATCCGAAAGCAGGGACAGTGACAATTCTATAGACGTTTCTCAAGTCGAGGATACATACACAGTTTCACATAGATACGCAGATTCAATCCGAAGCAGTAGCCAGCTCATCTCGTCACCGCGAAAACTGCGCGAGCAGAGGATAAAACACCGATAAAACGACTGCCGAACAGTTGGTGTATCTTCATAGCAGACACACAAAAATAAAAAATGATCCCCATGGACTGCAACTCCGCGGACCACAGTCCGAAAAGGGGGAAGAGAAAATCCACTTTAACGGCGGCAATCCTGAGCGGCCATATTTCTTCGACAGTTCGAGAGTCACGGACGTCAGCAATTCACGGATAAATCTCCTACTACACCCTCCCCCCCACCCACTCCCCAAAGAAGGGGGCAGCCGGGCTCTAAGATATATCCCCTCCGGGTGTGTGTGGGGTGATATCCAGTAACTCGACGGCCCAATCAGGAACAGGCGTAAAAACAAAAGACTTCCGCTCACTGGAAAGGAGGACGGTGGGCGAAAGACAGAAGGCGAGAGTACGGTGGTAGTGGGCGAGCGCGCGCGCACGAAACAGTATCGAGAAAAAGACGGAAGCAAAACCGGGTCAAGAATCAATCCTATCAGCCGGGACAGGCGAAGGCGCACGGGCCTTATCGCAGCCGTACACAGCTAAAGGGACGAGTGAAAGTCTATCGGCTGCACTGCGTTCATATACACAGAAGGTCGCGCGTCCGGACGCTGTCCATCCATTGCGGAGAGTTCCTTCAATTTCCGGATATCTGGACAAACGTCGACACCGAGCCTATATGCCACCAGGCGCGCAGCTGGACCCGATTTCAGCGCCACCTCGTCGACGTCGCCAGGAGCTCGTTCGGATTACCCTTCAACCCTTACCTCTCCTTCCAATACCAGTTTTTTTTTTCTTCTTTATGCTGGCGCGATCGCCTATCTCGTATAGGCCTGCCTGCGTTTTCGGGACGTGCTGCAATGTCTTACCGAGATTCAGCGGGTATATACGGGAGCGCGGTATAAGCAAGAGAAACAATCGTGCGCCGCATTTTCACGCGACTATAGTATACTTAAGGATAAAGCTATCGGTCGGAGACAGCGAATGTTATGTAACTGCAGTGCTGCCGTTCGAAAGACCGCGAAGTGCGACTCGTGCATTGATGCGATGAAAAAGTAAAGAAAGGAGGACGGTAGCACGCTGCTCCGCTAACCCTGTAATCCCACGAACAGTTATGCTTTCAAAAAAAAAAAAAATTCCAAGAAAACACTGACTGTTCTTAATCTTCTTGTACAGTTCATTTAAAAAAATGAATGAAATTTTGTTTGAGGCTTAACTTGGTAATATTTAGAAATAATTGCTATCGTATAATATGTAAGTCACTGTACCTACTTCACAGCATGTCAAATATGCAATAGCTTCTAGTAGCTTCTAGTAGCTTAGTTAAGGTATTATATTCAAGGTATCAAATATGATATAGTAGGCGTTAAAGGGTTAAAAAATAATCACTGGAAAGCTGCCACTTAGAAATAATTAAAGTAGATTAAAAGATACGCATTCATATTGAGACGACGGGCGGTGTACACTTGTCCGCGTTCGACTAGGCCGAGCTCGACTATAGGGTGGCTAAAAGCAAGTAAAACAAAGTTTGATACCAATGACCAACCTTGCGCACTTGAGCATCAAAATCACTCCGTACGTGGGTACATTACATATCGTGAAACGGCTTATACTTATTGAAGTGTCCTGTAGAACTTTTGTTCCACCAGAAGACGGAGACCGGAACAGCCACCCCTCCAAGTGGACTGAACGGACACATATCATTCGCGTCAAAAATGCAAGAACAGTTGCAGCGATTTCACACGCTGCTCCTCATTGTATGTAGTAGCTTTGACGCGGCTGTCAAGAAGGACGCGTAATACTCACATTATATATGTCTACTTTCCTCCTCACGAACGCTATCAAGCAGGCTCATTCACTTTTGAAAGCGGTGTCCGCAGCCTTTCACGGGCTGCTTCGTATATAATAAGACTTGTGTGCAATCTGTCTTCATCACACGGGCTTATCTATAGCTGCGCCTGCCAGCAAGCAACACTCGCCACAAAATGAAATAGTCATGCACCTCCGACGCTAACAGTCAAGGAAGTCGCGCTCAAACGATATGCAGGCGAGTCACTCCTGGTCTCAACTTTCCTCATCTTTCACATTGCATTTCGATCAC